ACAAGACAAGCCATGGTCAGAAACTAGCAGAGATCACACTGGGAATCAGCATAATCAAGTCGTAGCAAGGAACCAGTGGAGGTCATACTCCAGAGACGAGCTGTGGCTAGGAACAAGCTGAGGTCAGTAACATAAGTTGACCTCTGGAACAAGTTCAGGTTCAAGTTACAGGGCAACAAAATGAAGACTATCCAGCAACTACCTACTTCAGCTCTTACTCCTTAAAAAGAGTCCGCAAGAACCATTCTGGTGCCTGTGGGGAATGTGACGTAAAGGATTGTTTTTTTTTTTTATTAACAATGCGATGTAGCAGGAAGGTTGTATCGACCTAGTTAGTAAAAGATAGGTTTAGAGGTTCAAATATAAAATTACTGCATCACCCAATATATGGCTTCCATCCAGTAGCCAAAAAATATGCAGACCAAAAAAGAAATTTGTGAAAAGAGATTCACAAGAAAGCAGCTACATTTTGGACAGAATGCTATACTCAGAAAAATTTCCAAATTTAGTTGTATCGACCTCCCTTATCTTTTTCAAAAGAGCACCATCAGGCTTATGGGTGGTAGAGATCCTATGGAAAGGTCTGCATAAAATTGGATTTTGGGATCTCTTGAAGTTGAGGGAGCTTTTGTGCCAAGCCTGCTTTAGGATCTCCTCTTTATGTGGATTCTACATTTGTAGACCTGGATAGATCAGATGAGCATGAGCCCAGAGAGTGTTGATACTATTTAATTTTGAAAGTTCAGAGGGTTCCCCAGGTAGCAGTTGAATGTAGCACAGAGTTCTTCAAATCACCACAGCCAGTGGTCTCAGGCAACCCCTAATACAGATGTGATTGCCCTTGCCCCCATTATCTCCTTCTAGTTGTGGAAGAAAAAAGGGAAGATTTCAGTTTTTCAGGGCTTGTTCAGGTTTTGTCAACCTTTGATGCAGTTCTGTAAGAATTCCCCAGTTTGGTTATTGGAGTAAAGACAACTTTTTTACTTTGACAATCCAGGAGTTGTAGACTTGAGAAGGCTACAGAGAAGCAGTAGTAAGATCTTTTGTGAGCTGGTTAGCATGCCAAGAAGACAGAGTAAGCACCTGCCTGTAGGTGCAAGATCACCCAGAGTTCCTCAAGATCGGTGGGAAAAATAAATCCTGCCAATCACCACCCTGGAGGACTGTGAACCGTTTACCGTTGCAGGGACAGCAGAGAAACGTGGATAACTGAAGGAATAAGAGAAAAGGGCCAGAGGGAGAGACCAGGCTGGCTGGTGGCTTCTCTCTAGTATGCAGCATGACAATCGGAGGGTCAGCAACCATATTGGTAGTAGTTTGAGCCACTTCATTTAGCATTGCAAGAATAAAGAACTTCTGGAATTCTGCTTTGGGGGGACAGAGAAAAAAAAAATGTTTTCAATGAATTATTAAATTACATTACTAAGCGCTTATATGCTAATGTTGGGTTCTTGGTTTGTTGGCTAGAATGACTTTACAGGTAGATATTATTAGAACAAATTAATGTCCTCAGTCATCAAGGAAAGTCCTGTAGCACATTGAGACAGTTGCAGCTCCTTGCAGGGCCGTCTTAATAGCACCATGGGTCCCTGGGCAAAGTATATCAAAGACTAAGCAACACAAACAGCACAACATGGGGTGGGGTGGGGAGGGGGGAGGTCATTCTAATTGTAGATTTAGACTAGCGCCAGCCTGCTACTTTCCCCATATACCAGATTCTGGGACACTGCCCAGGAACACAGCTATCAGGATAGCTTAGTAAAAAGCATGACTATCCCAGCAAATCCGGGAGAGTTGGCAAGTATGATGTAATGCAAGGTTACCATCGGAGACCCCATGCACCCAGAGCTCCTGGGCAGTGCCCATGCATTAAGATAGCCCTGGTTCCATGGTCTACAGTGAGGTATTTGGGAATCTAGAGGTCATGCTGCTGATCAGGCATTCCCATATAGCAAACATTAATGCCTGTTGTAATGAATGATATGTTTGTACAAATTCTTACATTTATGGATTTAATATGTGAAACCAAATGTTTGTTAGGAGAGTCCTACATGGCAACTGGAACTTGCTGCCCATTCTAGGTATTTCCACAAGTGCCATTTACTCGGCTTTCTTTTATTTACTTTGTTAAGCTAGCCATAAACCAGTGGAATTTTGTACAAAAGTGTATTGGAATGTTCTTTGATTTTCAAATGGCTGGTGAGGTCAAATTAGCATTCATTTTTTTTTTTTTTTTTTACTATAGTGTCAAGAAAATTCAAAGGAGCAGCATAAAGGAGACATTGCTCCTGCCGTTCCAGATCACACCCCGCCTTCTGCTGTTTGTAGCTCATCAGTCCCTAAATGTGGTGGATCTATTTGTTTTTAGGGGTTTCTTTTCACATTTTTTCCCCATTCTCATCTGGTGATCCTGCCACTAACACTTCCTGTCCTAGAGTGAGTGACAACACTCATTGTACCATATCTATGTAGGAGAAATGTTTGCACCCTGGAACAGGGCTACAGAACACCTCCCCCTCTCCAAAACACAGGGGTAGGGGCAGACTGCCCATTCAGGCATTTGGGCATTGCCCAAGGGTCCAGGGTCAGTAGGGGACCCAGTGAGAGGCTCACTGGGCACAATTCACTAAGCGGTATCTTACCACATCTGAGTATGCGGCATGATACCGCATGGCATTTTTTAAAAAAAGAAGTTTGCATTCACCAAAAAATTCTACTAAAATACCGCATGTTATTTTATCAAGTCATGCGGCATTTTAGTAGTGACAACCATGTTTTAATGTTTCAGCTGTCAGACGGGTTCCCCACCGATATAAGCCCCCTGCCCACAGACCTCCACAACCACCAGCCAGGGTTGTGGAGAAGAGTTGCTTCGGGAGGAGCCCCCCCATGTTGAGAGCATGTGGCCCGGTTCAGGGGGGGAGGGGGGGGTGTTCGCTTGCTCGTCCCCCCCCCCCCCCCCCCCCCTTTCCTAACCTGTCTGGCTGCAGGTTCAGATAAGGGTCTGGTATGGATTTTGGGGGGGACCTCACGCCATTTTTTTTCTTAAATGGGGCATGGAGGTTCCCCTCAAAACCTGTACCAGACCCAAAGGGCTTGGTGTGAATGGAGGGGGGCCCCCACGATGTTTTATTATTTTAAATAATTTTTAATGCCCTTTCTATGCAGCTGAGCTGCAATATGTAGGCAGGGGTGTTGTGTGGGTGTGCTTTGGCTTTAGTGTAGACAGAGACACAGGGGGCCCCCATTATCTTTTTGCCGGGGGCCCCATGAGTTGTCAGTCCGCCCTTGGGTATGGGGTCAAACTGTAGACCACAGTAGAGACCTGGAAACCATGTGACTGATAACAGTGCAATACAAGGCAGAGAGTGCAGGAAGTTATCGGCTCTGGCAGGAAGTTTTTCACATATCAAACAGATGAAGAGACCATTAGAAGTATTTTGTTCTAACCAAGCAGAAGTGGAGAATGAGAGACGCTCATTGTTGGGGTTTTCATGCACTAGGATGGAGCAGATGCACCTCCTAGTGGCGGAAAGCTGGCACAGCAAATTAAAGGGTGATGGTCACCCAGCACATTTTTTTTTATTTCAGGTACTTATATAGCCCCATCAATTTACACAGCGCTTTACACATATTGTACATTCACATCAGTCCCTAACCCTCAAGGGGCGTACAATCTAAGGTCCCTAACTCACATTCATATATACACATACTAGGGACAATTTAGACAAGAGCCAATTAACCTACCAGCATATCTTTGGAGTGTGGGAGGAAACCGGAGTACCCGAAGAAAACCCACACAGGCACAGGGAGAACATACAAACTCCAGGCAGGTGGTGCCATGGTTGGGATTCGAACCAATGACCCTAGTACTGCTGGGCGGTGCTTACCCTTAACCACTCTGCTGCACATCTACATAAAAAATCTGTATGGAACAAAAAAAAAGTCTACATGAAAAATGCTGAATGTGACTTCTACATAATTATTGGTCATGTCGGATTTCATGTACAGCTTTGAAGATCCCTCATCCCATACAAGACCCTTTCCTTAATCAATGGTCACAGAGAGCAGACAAAGGCAGCGCCATTGATCAGGAGTCACTGAGGGAATGGGGGGGACAAAGGAGACTGGACTGTGCACACAGGTTATCACCAACCACACATACCGCTCATTAGTAGTTACAGGTTAAGCCACATATTACTTCAAGCGTTAGTATAAACACTCCCTTACCACCAGCCACCACTAGAGGGCAACACACCCAAAATTTATCTGATTGGACACACACAGACAGATGTAAATTTCACATACAATCCCAATGTACTCTGATGGTTTTGTGGCAGTTAAGATGATACCCCCCCAACTCCACTTCATATTCCCTAGGATAGGTAGGGAGGTCACACCTTCAGTTGAAGGACAGAAAGCAGGGTGGAAAATTTACCCTCCACAGCAGAGAGACAGAGTGTATACCCCTCCCCCCCCCCCCCCACAGTGGGAGGGAAAGATGGACAAAGCAGGGGGGGGGGGGGGGGGAGGGGTAACCCGCTATACACAAGATACACACAAAGATCAGATGTAGTGTATTTTATTTAGGGAGTTGGAGGAAATGGACACATTGGGAGAGGGACCCATAGCTTTTCTCTTTTCTTCAGAACCTTGGCAATGGTGACCAAACACAGCACGAGGAGAATGGCTGCAGCTGCAGAGGATGCTGGGAAGAGGAAAGGATTCAGACCTGGAAAAAGGAAAATACACATAAAAAGGAAATAAAAAAAATCTATCTCCCTCCAGGAAACCCTCCTAACATGCTCCAACTATGTCCCAAAACACAGCAATCCCCTCCCACAAGGAGCCATCTCCTGCCAATCCCATCACAGCTTTGCTGGTGGACAGTCTGTAGATATATTACCCGATTCCGGTTTCCCAACGCTGGACACAGAACTCCGTCTGAGTCTGATGGGACCGCAGGACACCACCTTCCTGTATGGGTCACTCAGGTCCCGGGCGTGTCGGTAACTGCTGGTTTTAGGCTGGAAGGGGCAGAATATTCCAGAATCAGATGAAAGCCTGGACAATTTCTAGACACAGGAGGGGACAACAGGTCCGAGAGGCCTGAATCTAGTTTCCCAAACAAAGACCATTTGTGTTCATCACTTAATAAAAGGAGCCTCACCGGATTGCAGCAATGGCTGGCATTGGGCTGGTGCAGCCAGACTCGGCAGTGCAGGTAAAATTCTGGGAATTTCACAAAGTGGAACATCTGCAGGGAGAAGCGGCTCAGCAATTGGTTCCCTGACTCCAACATGGCCACCGTGGAGTCATTAGCAGTTCTGTGAAGAAGATGCTCTGTTATTTCAGTGGGAATAGTCTGAGGAAACCCCACCATCTCAATGTGTTAATGCATTCAAATCCCACTAGTGCGACATCCCCCCACCCAGCCCACCTATCCATAGTGTGATTACCTCCTCCGCTTCCTCTTTGACCCACCTACCCATAGTGTGATCCACCCACCCCCAGTGTAAACCACCCCTTCCCAACCCATCTACCCCTAGTGCGACACCCTTCCCCCCCTCCCAGACCCAACTACCCTTAGTGTGCTCCCTACCTCCCTGACCCACCTATCTACCCCTCACGTGATCCTTCCAGATTCCTGAATCCCTAGTGTGATCCACTACTTCTTGACCCATCTACCCCTAGTGTGATGCCGCCCACCCCCCAGATCAAACTCCAACTAACCTTTGTGTGATCCCTACCTCCCAAACACACACCTATCACTAGTGCGATAATGCCCTCCTTGACCCACCAACCCCTAGTATGATCCCTCCCTCCCCAACCCACATACCTTTGCGTGATCCTCCCAGATTAATCAAGCCCTAGTGTGATCCACCCCTTTTTGACCCATCTACCCTTAGTGTGATCCCTTCTCCTCCTTGAACCCACCTACCTCTCAAGTGATCTTCCCCCTCCCAGATATATCAACTCCTAGTGTGATCCCCCTCCTTTCAGACCAACCTATGCCCAGTGTGATCCCCATTCTCCCACACACCCCTACCCCTGGAGTGATTCCCACCAATAACAGTTACCAGAACCAAGGTGACCTCTGTACCACTCACCCACTGGAGATGATTAGGTGTCTTATCTCGTCAGCATAATTTGGCCCTGGTGTGGCCCAGCACTCATCCAATCTCAGAATAAAGAAGTCTTGCAGATCAAGTCCGAGGATCTGCAGCTGGACGTAGAGTCTGCCGGTAAGTGGGATGATTGGAGGGCGATCATAAGAGTCCAAGAAATCTTCTGAGGGGTGAAGGGTCATACTAACATTGAATTTTCCTTCCTTTACCACAAATGTCACCAGCCTAGGAGGAAGAGAGGACCAAAATGATAACTAAAACGGATCTATGCCGGTCTGAAAGTAGAGTTCTCATCTATAGGAAAATGTCAGCTTTCACCCCATACAGCCAAGCTCATATCCATGGGCTGAGACCAATTTCCATACAAAAATAAAAAAGGGATTGCCCCTCATAGGCGACATGATACCTTCAAATGTTACCTGACACAGCAGGAAAACTACTGTTTGTGCAGTATTGTTTTATCCTGCTGGTGACACACACACACTTATCTACTGTGTTCAGAACAGGCTCCAGATGAACTGCAATGTTAGTTTTCATTCTACTCAATTTATAGAGGCATGAATGTGGGGTGGGCTCTTACCCCTTAACCTATCACCCCTTGGACAAGTTACCTCCTCTGCTTGGGGCAAGAGGTTTAACCTCCTGAAGTTGCCATAGATTATATGGACCAGTCAGTTCTGATGGTTTGGTTGGAGTTAAATTTCCACCAGCACCAGCACATCATCTCAAATGCCGAGAGTCCAATTTCTACTTGACTGCTACAAGCAGGGTCCATAAAGTCTTTTGGGGTAGTCCCTCTAGGTCCAGGACATACCATTTAGCATACACATTCAGCTCACAATTTTTTACTATCCAAGGAATAATTCCTCTGCTCCCAACCAATATTTTAGATCTTATGAAGAATTTAAGAAAAGGAGGGGTTGTTCCAAGACTACATGGAGTCTCATGGTGTAAAGACCACCTCTTCCTCCCTGGTCCCTCATGGTCTGCAAGGTTCCTGATGGTCTGTGTGGACCCTGATGGCCTGTCCAATTGTCTGTGAGGTGATTGTTGATTAACATTACATACAGCCACAAGCTTACAGGGTCCTGTCCAACTCTTAGTTCAGATGGCACCACATTTGTCCAAACTACAATGAACACTGAATTATGAGGATATTTATGAGGTCATCATCTCATGTCTATATTTAAGGTTACACCTCCCCATTACACTTGGCGACCCCAAGAGCCTCACCACCACACTTTGGGACAATACGACTCCATTTGGAGTGCTGGCAGCCCCTGAAAATACATACGAGGCACTGGTGAGCAGTGGGTAGGGCAGAGACACAATTCGATCATAGTGGTAGACACAGAAGAAGGAGATCTGGACATCTGCAGATCGGGATATGGAATTTCCAAGTATCTCTGGCTGCTGTGTTGTGAATCCTGTTTTGAGCTCATTTGAATAGATGAGGTGAGTCCCATTAACCTGGAAAAGTAGAAAACATCTCAGGTGAACTGTACAGAGTGGAGGACCATCACATGGTGAAATCACTGACTACCCTGTGTGATCCAACACGGCCTGATAACTGTGCCCAGAATCCTTTGTTCCAAACTACTCAGGAGAACCACAGACCACTGGAAGATAGTTTCCTGGCCAATGTAGAATTCCTGTGATTGAGGTTTATGAACAGTGAGATGCTCACCGTGTCATTAAGTGCAACATTCCCAGTTTCCTGAACACACATACTGTATGTCCAATCTGACACAAGTCAAACCAATTGTGATTGGTGAACAATGTGATTCTCTGCACATCGCAATAAATATTAAAAAAAAATCAATTTCCCATTGTGATTGGCACTATAAAGGAGCCATTAAAAGTCAGATGAAGGGCAGCAGACCATGTGGGCCAGAGTCCAGTTTAAGGTGAAGTCAGACTGTCCTGACTCATTGGACATCATCAGTCTGGACATCATCAGGGCTGGATACAAATCTGACCACACAGCATATGAAAGTGGTCACAATTGATCCCTTAGCTGGAGGAACAGAAGAAGTCATCAGCCCAGGAGAGGCCAGACAAGCCCAGTATAGCCAGATGAAGATCGGACCACCACGCTCTAATACCGCCTCACAATGGCAATCCGACCACCTACCTTAACCTCTGTTCCACATTGTGTGTGGTTCTGGTGGGTCAGTGTGATGGAGACATAAAGAAGAGACTCTTCTGCTGTGCACTTCTCATTAGATGTATGAAGGTTGGAGACATTTACACTCAGATCGGTGAGGACATCCTTCGGAACCTGAAGCCTCATCCAGTGATTGTCACAGACCAACTCACACAGTACAACAGTACACAGGAAGGAACACGCTGTTCTATACTACACAATGCTATGCAGCATGGAACACACTACATGTCAAACTGTACTACACAATACACCATGCTACACCACACTGTACAATGCTACACAATGATACACAGCATAGAGAACACCATACAACACACCAAACTGTACCAGACTATACAATCCACCACACCATACAGCGTCACACCACACAATCCAACACACCAAACACACTACACCCCACACACACACAATCCCACACACCATACTACGCCACACCACACCCACAACATACTACGCACACAACCACACAATCCCCCACAACATACTACATCCCACCATACCATAATACGCCACACCACACAATCCAACGCACCATACTACACACACCACCACACAATCCCACACACCATACTACGCCACACCACACAATCCCACACACCATACTACGCCACACCACACAATCCCCCACAACATACTACATCACCATCCCCACACCATACTACCCCACCACCACACAATCCAACACATCATACCACACCACACCATACTACGCCACACCCACACAATCCAACACACCATAATTAGAGGGATGGATAGAGCACCAAAAGTTGTATTTTTTTCTTTTTTCATTCGGTGATCCAGCCAGTAAGTTTGTTTTTCAGAAGAACAAGTTCTCTTCCCGATGGCGGGAACAAGTTCTCTTTAAAAACCCTTTATCCCAAAAGTGTGAGCTGGAGTTTTGCTTTAATTTGTTAGTGTTTTTAAATCTGCTAGTGCTTTTAACACTACCCGCCTCCCAGATTGACAATACCTCTGTCTGCTGTGCCCCCTGTGCTTCTTCTTTAAGAGCGGGGGCACTCTAATAAAGGAGAGGTGTTATACTGGCCAGACTGGTAGAAAAAAAAGCCTAAAAGAAAACTAAGGCAGCCATCACATCGAATGATTGGTAAGTTGCAATATATTAAATCTTTGGTTTTTGGTTTAATACCACTTTAAGTAGTAGAACCACTGTAATGATTTTCCCAGTCACCTTCACCTTGGCACTTGTGTCCGATGAATCCCGGTGCACACAGACATCTATACTGTCCCTCCACCTCCACACAGGTTCCTCCGTTCTCACACATGTAGGGGGGGCAGACTCCACCCTCTGACGTCATATTGCTTGGCACACTCGACTCCTTCGGCCATGGATCCAGGTAGAGGATCCGTACGCTGGGGTCACCACGGTCTGGTTGGGAGAGATTTCATACAGACATCACCTGGGCCATACACGTCATATCCCCAAACCTGAGAACCAAATGTGAGCCTCCTCCACACGCGGACACCAAGCAGCACACCACCTCCCTCCTCCCCACAACAAGGCTAAACAGCATACAGCCTCCTCCTCACAGCGACACCAGAAGTAGGGCCAGATTTAGCCCTTGGGGGACAGAGCTGGTTTACATTCTCAATGACAGTCACACATTTTATAAATGTATGACAGTCATTCTGAGGTCACACGCGTGCGCACACGACGTCATGGTGCTCTATGTGTGGTTTGCTTAAGCCGCCAAAATTTGTTTAAAAAAAAAATATGATACAATATATACTAATCCAGAGTAAAAACATTTACAGATGGCAGGCAAAATATTACTTCCCAAGATACATTTAGTAAAAGTAATTTTTTATTATATATTTTTATAAATAATTTTAAAAATATTTTAGATAATTTTTGTATCGAGGGGGGGCTCTTCTGTCAAGGAGACCCAGAGCAGTAGCCCCTTTTGTACCCTTATAAATCTGGCACTGGCCAGAAGCCATTCCCATCTCCTAATAGTGACATAAGGTGGCAGGCTGCTTCCTTCTAATAACAGCGATGTCATAAGGAGACACCAAATAGCATACGGCTTTTGTCTCCTTCCCACAACGCCACCAGACAGCACACCACCTCTGCCCCATATCACGCCATAAAGGAAGCCCCCTGATCTTCTCTACAGGGATGCCGAAAGGCATGGTTCAACACAAGGACTGCCACCTCTGCCCCAGAGTGACGCCACAAGGCACGCCGCTACAGCCTCCGCCACAAGGCACGCCGCTACAGCCTCCGCCACAAGGCACGCCGCTACAGCCTCCGCCACAAGGCACGCCGCTACAGCCTCCGCCACAAGGCACGCCGCGCTACAGCCTCCGCCACAAGGCACGCCGCTACAGCCTCCGCCACAAGGCACGGCGCTACAGCCTCCGCCACAAGGCACGGCGCTACAGCCTCCGCCACAAGGCACGGCGCTACAGCCTCCGCCACAAGGCACGGCGCTACAGCCTCCGCCACAAGGCACGGCGCTACAGCCTCCGCCACAAGGCACGGCGCTACAGCCTCCGCCACAAGGCATGGCGCTAGAATTGGAAAAAAAACAAAAAAAAATCACTAAGCTTAGTTAATGAGGTGAAGCCATGCTGACTTTAATCATCTAATCATGTGCAAACAATTTTTTTCTTTTTTTTTTTAACCACTTGCCCTCCAGAGGATTTACCCCCCCACTGACCAGGCCATTTTTTGAGATACGGTGCTGCATTACTTTAATTGACAATTGCGTGGTCATGCAACGCTGTAGATAAATTTAATGTATTTCTTCCCCTCATATAGAGCTTTCTTTTGGCAGTATTTGATCACCTCTGCGTTTTTTATTTTTTTGTGCTATAAACAAAAGACCAACAATTTTGAAAAAAAAAAAAAGCACTATTTGAGTTTTTGCTATAAAACATGCAGGAAAAAAAAAAGTTAAATAAAATTTCTTCATAAATTTAGGCCAACATGTATTCTGTTACATCCCAAGAAGTGTATATTAAATTGGTTTACGTGAAAGTTATAGAGTCTTCAAATGGCAGTATATAGACACACTGGAATTTTTATTTGTATTTTTTTTCTTTTAATAGTGATGGCAGTGATCAGCGACTTATTGCAGGACTGCGGCGGGCATTCTGACACTGGGGGGAACTGACTAACTGCCACTGACATCCCCAGTGACACGAATACAGTGATCAGTGCTAATAAAAAGTACTGACGCTGTACTAATGGCACTGGGCAGGAAGGGGTTAACATGTGGGGCGATCAAAAGGTTAACTGTGTGCTGTGTTGTGTTTCACATAATGAGCCGTATGTCTTTTACTATGTAGACAAGCTGCTTTGTATTGCACTGCTGTGCAGAGCAATACAAAGCAACATGTTCGAGTTGACAGGGAAGAGATCTGTGTTTACACACAGACTTCTCCCGTCAGCTCCGCCAACGATCACAGAGTCGCGGCCGAGAATCAGCATCTGGGACCCGGTGACTGACATGCCGAGGAACCAATAGTGACACGCGTAGGGAACACACGTACACGCCCCCTAACCGAGGATGAAAAACATGTATACATGCGCGATTTTGCACATCCCTGCCGCGCTGTAGCAATACTTCTGCTATAGGGCGGTCGGGAAGCGGTTAATTAGTTTTTCTTGCATAGCATTGGGTATTCAAAGCCAAGCAAACACTCTTCTCCTTACTGAGATCTGTGTTCATGAATGAATTATTCTCCGTTTAATTATTTAGAGGGGCTGAACTATATACACATCCCTTCTACCATGTAGGCAGGTGCAGTTTATCCTATTCTGTAGGCAACACCGTGTTGCTGTGCCAGTGTACAGATGAAGTGGAGGATGACAGGAACATTGTTCCTTTGCAGAATCTGTAGGTGTCACCAGAGGAGCAGTGGTCTAACTGCATACCGCAACACTTTTCAACCCTGGTGGCCATCTTTGGTGTGGGCAATGCTACAAAATCAGCATCTGGGACCCAGTGATTGATATGCAGAGGAGCCAATAGTGGCGCGGGTAGGGACCACGCGCGCGCCCCCTACCCGGGGTTGCAAAACCCATATACTTATGTGATTTGGCGCATCCCTGCCGCAGTACTACTGCTATAGGGCGGTCGGAGAGCGGTTAATTTTTCTTGCACCGGATTGGGTATTCATAGCCAAGCAAACATACTCTTCTCCTTACTGAGTTCATGAATGAATTCTCCTTCCTGGTTAATTATTTAGAGGGGCTGAACTATATACACATCCCTTCTACCACGTAGGCAGGTGCAGTTTATCCTCTATTCTGTAGGCAGCACTGTGTTGCTGTGCCACTGTACAGATGGAGTGGAGGATGAGAGGAACGTTGTTCCTTTGCAGAATCTGTAGGTGTCACCAGAGGAGCAGTGGTCTAACGGCATACTGCAACACTTTGTAACCCTGGCAGCCATCTTTGGTGTGGGCAATGCTACTAAAAAGCAGTGCCCCATTGTATTTGGCCTGCAGTTGTGAGCAGCTAGAGTAGGGAAGGGAGCCATGCTTGCTAGGGACAATGTAATAGCTTTAGGGAATGGTTCCTGCTCGGGAGAGATTAGGGACACCGCTGTCTGCTGTTAGATTGGGGGCACCGCTGTGTGTTAGTAGTTCATAGGACCTGTACAACTCTTCCAAGTTGCCACGTGTGCCTCCACTCTGCCCGTCAGCCACTTCTTTTGCAGATGCTGCATTGGTAATGTAGGCTATGCCAGTGTGATACCCATAAATCTGTAGATCTACTCATGTACTGCTACCATTACTGCACCATTGGTGTTACGGTGTTTGCTTTTACAGCAGTGTCCGGAACTGCTATTTGAAGTGTTCTGCCACAGCTGCTAAAGCCACATTACTGGTGACTGCATAGCACATTGCAGAGGGAGACTTTCCAGCGTTGACTTTCTTTGTGGTTCTGACATATGAGACTTAAAGCAGAGTTTTAGTTGGTTTAAAAAAAAAAAAAAAAAAAAAAAAAATTTAAAAAGTATTAAAAAAAAAAAAAAAAAAAAAAAAAAAAAAAGGACTTACAGACACTTACCTGTCCCTCGGTTCAGCGGTGTCCTCACCACCACTGGATTCACTGGCCGTCTTCTCTCCCCGGCGCCGGCATCTTCCGTGTGGGCACCCGGCTGTGAAAGCTTGCAGCTTCTCAGCTGAGTGCCCACTGCGCATGCACGAGTAGTGCTGTGCTTTGCGAATGGTTCCGTAGTCTTCTGGGACCTGTCATGTGTCCCTAAAAGGTGCCAATCCTTAACGGGGAGCGGGGGACAAAGGCTTAAAGCAGAACTTCCCCTTTTGGGTGAGAAAATCGGATGAAAAATACCACTTTCAAAACGGCCATCCGATCATCTGATCTTTAGTACACAGCTTTGGAGAGATAATCACAACAGTTCATGTGAAATTATCCGTAAGGGCTCATGTACGCTGCAGCTGCTAAACTGACGTTCAGGAGCTGTTCAGCGGTTTTTTTTTTTTCAGCAGCCCCTGAACTGTCCTTTATGTCCTCCGATGTGTCCATATACAGATAGTTATTTACAGTCGTTTTTTTGAACGCATCAACATAGCATTCAGGAGAAGATTTTACTGGCATTTCAAACGCCAAACGCTTGTAAACGCGGTTTACAAGCAATTGCGTTTAGATGCGTTTTTTGACAGGTCCATATCTAGATGCTGCCCAGAGCCTTTTTTCTTCATCAAAAATGCATGCAAAGTGTTTTCCATGTATTCAAATAGACCCAGTACACCAGCGCAGACAGTTCAGGTTTCACGTGAAGGAAAAGAAATGGTAGAACGTGACGCATTATGCTCATGATGGGATCCATAGTGAATACAACCAGAAAAGACAGATCATCTCAACACATACTGCTCTCTGCTTCTGCTCTCCATTTCTCTCAAAATGTCTGAAATAATTATTTACTGTTTTTCAGTGCATTCGGTAGGGTTTCCTGAGGTTACCTTTTAAAACGCTTTTAAACGCAAACGCGCATAAATGCGGTATGCAAACGCAGCTAAACTAACGTTTTTTAACCTACATTTTCCAGCAGTCAGAAGAGTTTCCCCAATGCCCCATGTACATGAGCTTTATGTCCAAAGAAGTGAGAAAAATTGTGCTGGTCAAAGGAAATGAGGCTAGAATTACAAGAGTTACAATGTAAAAAACAGATGCAGACATAAGGCCACCCATGTTGAGTAGGACATTCATTATTTCCTGTCCCTTGACTAAAAACTGCAATCATGCAGCAATCACAGTCATGATCTGAAACTTCAGATTTATTGGGAGAATCTAGAGAAGAAATCTACTGAGAGCATAAACCCTGGTGACACAAAGCTCTATTGACCTTCTTTTAATGAAGGGGTCATGGAGGGTTGGTACATGGTGGTGGAGCACTAAGAGGTTTCGCACGAAGATGTAGACCAAGCACTAGAAGAGTATTTTTGGCACCAAATTTGGGGTGAGACATTCAAACATTTATTATTTCTCACATATATATTGGTTTCTTTGGTGAAATTTAACTACTGGGTTAACATATCTATGTATGTGCAGCTCCGAAACGTCATTCAGTTATAGCGATTGCCGATTGTTGCTCAATTTGATATTCGTTTTGTGATGGATTTGGTAAAATGCCTATTTCGTTTCCTATTGAATATATATATATATATATATATATATTATATATATATATATATATATATATATATATATATATACAGTCATGGCCGAAATTGTTGGCACCCTTGATATTTTTCCTGAAACAAGTATTTCACACAAAAAAGGTATTGCATTAACACATGTTTTTGCTATACACATGTTTATTCCCTTTGTATGTATTGGAACAAATATAAAAACAGAGGCAGAAAAGCAAATATGACATAATGTCACACAAAACCCCAAAAATGGGCTGGACAAAAGTATTGGCACCCTTAACTTAATATTTGGTTGCACACCCTTTGGAAAACATAACTGAAATCAGTCGCTTCCTATAACCATCAATAAGCTTCTGACACCTCTCACCCGGAATTTTGGACCACTCTTCCTTTGCAAACAGCTCCAGGTCTCTCTTATTGGAAGGACACCTTTTCCCAACAGCAATTTTAAGATCTCTCCACAGGTGTTCAATGGGATTTAGATCTGGGCTCATTGCTGGCCACTTCAGAACTCTCCAGCGCTTCTTTGCCATCCATTTCTGAGTGCTTTTTGACGTATGTTTGGGGTCATTGTCCTGCTGGAAGACCCAGGATCTTGGACGCAAACCCAGCTTTCTGACACTGGGCCCTACAGTGCGACCCAAAATCCTTTGGTAATCCTCAGATTTCATGATGCCTTGCACACAGTCAAGGCACCCAGTGCCAGAGGCAGCAAAACAACCCCAAAACATCATTGAACCTCCACCATATTTTACCGTAGGTACTGTGTTTTGTTCTTTGTAGGCCTCATTCCGTTTTCGGTAAACAGTAGAATGATGTGCTTTACCGAAAAGCTCTATCTTGGTCTCATCTGTCCACAAGACGTTTTCCCAGAAGGCTTTTGGCTTACTCAAGTACATTTTGGCAAACTGTAGTCTTGCTTTTTTATGTCTCTGTGTCAGCAGTGGGGTCCTCCTGGGTCTCCTGCCATAGCGTTTCATTTCATTTAAATGTCGACGGATAGTTCGCGCTGACACTGATGCTCCCTGAGCCTGCAGGACAGCTTGAATGTCTTTGGAACATGTTTGGGGCTGCTTATCCACCATCCGGACTATTCTGCGTTGCAATCTTTCATCAATTTTCCTCATCCGTCCACGACCAGGGAGATTAGCTACAGTGCCATGGGTTGCAAACTTCTTGATAATGTTGCGCACTGTGGACAAAGGCAAATCTAGTTCTCTGGAGATGGACTTGTAACCTTGAGATTGTTGATATTTTGCCACAATTTTGGTTCTCAGGTCCTCAGACAGTTCTCGTCTCCTCTTTCTGTTGTCCATGCTTAGTGTGGCACAGACAGACACACAATGCAAAGGTTAAGTGAACGTCTCTCCTTTTTATCTGCTTTCAGGTGTGATTTCTATATTGCCCACACCTGTTACTTGCCCCAGGTGAGTTTACAGGAGCATCACATGCTTGTAACATTCTTATTTATCCGCAGTTGTGAAAGGGTGCCAATACTTTTGTCCAGCCCATTTTTGGAGGTTTGTGTGACATTATGTCGAATTTGCTTTCTTTCCTCCCTTTTTTTGTTTTGTCCCAATACACACAAAGGGAATAAACATGTGTATAGCAAAACATGTGTTAATGCAATACGTTTCGTGAGAAATACATGATTTCCTGGAGAAATATCAAGGGTGCCAACAATTTCGGCCAATGACTGTATATATATGCTATTTCTATAAGTTTTATAAATATTTACTTTTATACTTTAATACATATGTTGTGTGAATATTTTCTGCCTGCTGGGCTTTGTGGTACTATAAGAAATCTTTGCTTAAGAAATGTCTGCTCACACACACAGACCCCCTCCCACCGTGTGATTTGGAAGACAAAAGCATGTTTTCCTATGAGATAAGGCCTGGAAGAAGATCACACCTATACCATGATGGAGATTGTTTTCGTGTGGAAATGACCAATCAAAGACTAATATAATGCTTATGCTGTTGTCACATGACGCTTGCATCATTTTGCATATATAAGCTCACTTTCTCATTATAATAAACTAGAAGTATTCATAGACTGAACTTGTGTGTCAGCGTGAGTCTCTTCCAGTGTGCGCACATTCCAAAGCTAGCGTCATAAATTAGGACAGGAACAGATAAGCACTGGACGATTCAGTCCTTGACTAAACCAGTTTCACCTGCAACTCAACAAAAAAAAACTGTTCAACCTTTCCCTGTGCCGGTTTCCCAAGTTGGGCACCAACGTCCTGGCCCACAACCAGAAGGTGTCAGCCAGGAATACATTCATATTAAACTGCTGCCCCCGAGCTCAAAGCTATATACACATTCCCTGCACACAGTACCAGCCTGGAGAAATCCCCAACCTGCCAGATGGACCTGAACTGCACACACATTGCTGTCTTCCCTAGTTCCCAGGAGCTCAGAATATATTCCATCCTTACCGTCAACCTCATCTTGTATAACAGGAGTCACCAAAGTCAATATCACCCCGAATAATGCAAGACATCCTGTGAAGCCAGACATCATCTGCAGGAGGAAGAGAGAGAAATGACAGTCATAAAATATCATCAAGCCCTGGAAAATCCCTTCATATCCACCACCCTCACCCAGCCAAGGACACAAACCCATCTCCTCTGTCAATAAGGAGAGAGAACAGGTTGGGAGGGATTGGGGTATAATAGAGGGACAGAGGGGGGTGACTGGGGTATACTAGAGGGGCAAGGGGAGGGGAGGGGTTGAGGTATACTAAAGAGACAGAGGGGGAAGGGGGGTTGGGGTTCCAGAGGGACGGGGGGTGATTGGGGTATAATAAAGAGACAGAGGTGGTGATTGGGGTACGGTAGAGGGGCAGAGGTGGTGATTGGGGTACGGTAGAGGGGCAGAGGAGGTGATTGGGGTACGGTAGAGGGGCAGAGGAGGTGATTGGGGTACGGTAGAGGGGCAGAGGAGGTGATTGGGGTACGGTAGAGGGGCAGAGGAGGTGATTGGGGTACGGTAGAGGGGCAGAGGAGGTGATTGGGGTATAGTAGAGGGACAGAGGAGGTGATTGGGGTAAAATAGAGGGACAGAGGAGGTGATTGGGGTAAAATAGAGGGACAGAGGAGGTGATTGGGGTAAAATAGAGGGACAGAGAAGGTGACTGGGGTATAACAGGAGGGCAGAGGAGGTGATTGGGGAATAACAGGAGGAGGAGAGACTTGGGTATAATAGAGGGGCAGAGGAAGTGACTGTGGTATAATAGGGGGACAGAGGAGGTGATTGGGGTATAACAGGGGGACAGAGGAGGTGATTGGGGTATAACAGGGGGACAGAGGAGGTGATTGGGGTATAACAGGGGGACAGAGGAGGTGATTGGGGTATAACAGGGGGACAGAGGAGGTGATTGGGGTATAACAGGGGGACAGAGGAGGTGATTGGGGTATAACAGGAGGACAGAGGGGGGGATTGGGGTATAACGGAAGGACGGGGGGGAGATTGGGGTATAATGGAAGGACGGGGGGAGATTGGGGTATAACAGAAGGATGGGGGGGGGGGAGAAGATTGGGGTATAATAGAAGGACGGGTGGGGGGAAGATTGGGGTATAATAGAAGGACGGGGGGGGGAGATTGGGGTATAATAGGACGGGGGGGGGGGGGGGGGGGGGGGGGGAGTATAATAGAAGGACAGGGGGGAATTTGGGGTATAATAGAAGGACAGGGGGGGTGGATTGGGGTAAACAGCTCCTAGATTGTAAGCTCCAAGGAGCAGGGCCCTCGAACCCCTCGTGTATCGCATTGTATTGTTATTGTACGGTCTCATGTACTGTCCCCCATTGTAATGTACAGCGCTGAGCGGACTGTTGGCGCCATATAAATACTGTATAATAATAATAATAGAAGGACAGGGAGGGGGAATTGAGGTATAATAGGATGGGGGGGAATTGGGCTGAAGTATAATAGAGGGACAGAGGAGGAATTGAGGAATAATAGAGGGTAGGAGGGGGAGATTGGGGTTATAATAGAAGGACAGGGGGGTTATAATAGAAGGACGGGGGGGGAAATTGGGGGTATAAAAGGACGGGGGGGGGGGTTGGGGGTATAATAGGACAGAGGTGGGGTATAATAGAGGGGGGGGATGAGGTATATTAGATGAACGGGGGGGGGGGGGGGGGGGGGGGGTGGGGGGCGGGGGGGGGGGGGGGGGGGGTTGAGGTATAATAGGACACAAAGTAAATTGGGGTATAATAGAGGGACATGGGTATAATAGAAGGATAGAGGGGGTATTGGGGGTACTAAAGGGGGAGGGATTGTGGACGGGGTGGGGGGGGGGGGGGCATAATAGAGAGACAGAGGAGGACTTGAGATATAATAGAGAGTAGGAGGGGGGAGATTGGGGTATAATAGATGGACAGAGGGCGGAATGGGGGTGCAGTAAAAGGACAGAGGTAGGGGTTGGGTTAATAGAGGAGGGAATTGAGGTATAATAGAACTGGGGGGATGGGGGTATAGTAGATGGATGGGGGGGGGGGGGGGGGATTAGGGTATATTAGAGGGACGGGGGTATAGTAGATGGATGGGGGGGGGGGGGGAATTGGGGGTATATTAGAGGAGGGGGGGGTATATTAGAGGAGTTGGGGGGGGGTGAATGGGGTATAACAGCGAGATGGATGTATTGGGGGAAGGGGTTGGGGGACTCCTGACACAATACAATAGTCCCGTATGTAGAAGGGGCTCTGAGTAATACACTCCATGTCAGTATATAGTATAGAATTGGGGGTATATATCAGATCTGTTGCCTCCTCACACACGTTTACCTCCTCCAGCCGATCACAGCTCTCCCCGCCCTCCCCCCTCCTCCCCACTCTAAATTAATGACTTTCAGCTGTCAATCATCATGCTTCCCTCCCCCTCCCCGGGATATTGGGTCAGGGATGATGATAGGGGTGATATTGGGTGAGAAGCCTTTTGAGAGTCTTCGACTACATCTCCCAGCATCCCATGCTGCCAGCACTTCCTGTTTCTGGTATTGTTACCCCGGCAACCAGAGTACACATCTGACTACAGAGACTCAAGTACAGTATAGCAGAAATATCTCTATGAATCATTCTGTATACAATGTATCACCCCCTCCCCTGTATATAGGGGGGGGGGGGGGGGGGGGGGGGGGGTGCTGTATATTTATGGGGAAGGTCATGCTGTATATAACAGGGGGTTCTACTGTATCTGGGGGGGGGGGGGGGGGTTAATGCTGTATATTATGGGGGGTCGTGCTGTATATGGGGGGGGGGGGGATGCTGTATATTATGGGGAAGGTCATGCTGCATATCACAGGGGGTTATACTGTATATAAGGGGGGATGCTGTATATAATGGGGAGGGTCATGCTGCATATAAAAAGGGGTTATACTGTACATAATGGGGGGGGTCATATTGTATCTGAGGGGGGAGGGGGTTAATGCTGTATATTATGGGGGAGGGTAGTGCTGTATATAAGGCGGTGGGAATGCTGTAAATATAATGAGGAGGGTCATACTGTATCTAAGTTGGGGGGGGGGTTAATGTTGTATACTTATGGAGGGGATGCTGTATATAATTGGGAGGGTCATGCTGCATATAACAGGGGGTTATACTGTACATAATGGGGTGTCATGCTGTATATGGGGGGGGGGGAATGCTGTATATATGAGGAGGGTCATACGTATATGGGGGAGGGGGGTAAATGCTGTATATTATGGGGGGGTCATGCTGTATATAAGGGGGGATGCTGTATATAATGGGGAGGGTCATGCTGCATATAAGGGGGTTATACTGTATCCAGTGTGGGGGGGGGGGTTAATGCTGTTTATTATGGGGGGGGGATGCTGTATATAATTGGGAGGGTCATGCTGCATACAACAGGGGGTTTATACTGTATATAATGGGGGGGTCATACTGTATCGGGGGGGTTAATGTTGTATATTATGGGGGGGTCATGCTATATATAAGGGGGGGTGCTGTATATAATGGGAAGGGTCATGCTGCATATAACAGGGGGTTATACTGTATGTAATAGGGGGTCATGCTGTATATTATGGGCAGTCATGCTGTATATAAGGCGGAGATGCTGTATATATAATGAGGAGGGTCATGCTGCATATAACGGGGGGGGGGGGGGTTTATACTGTAAATAATGGGGGGGGTCATACTGTATACTGTAGAGTGAGCCATATTGGTCTGGGATATTTCAGGTAATATGGAGTTTGTGGAGGCTGATCCAGGAGAGGGACAGACTCCCCGCACTGAGGATGATATTCTTACTGAGGAGGATCTGCGGGACATACAAGAGGACCTGTCACACATTGAGGTCACCGAGGGGGACAGTTCACAGTAAGTACTGAGTGCATCCATCATGGACTCCTCCCCCCCTTACCCCAATACATTCCAATGTATAAAAGAGAAGTCGCATAATTCACAGTTATTATCTCTCAGGGCCCTTCTTTGGGGCCCCTTGTCAGGACCTGTAATGATTATTTTGTGTTAGAACTATAGAAGGAAAACCTTTCCGGATAGAGAAGGAAGTAAAACATCTTGTTACTATGGCTACTATCCCAGTTTCATTTTGTCTCCCGGTAATGTCGGTTTGTGTTTCAGGGATCTGGAGGCTGTTTGGGAAAACAAGTCATTTCCAGAGTCATACCGCACAAACTCTCAGAAGGAGCGGACTCTGCTGAGCCTGGCCGACAATTTCTGGCGTCAGTACACCCATCTGTACCCGGACCGCAAACCACTCTTCATGTGTCCCCTCAATGAGTGCAGCCTGGAGGTGAGACAGTACCTGGTGGAATGTCTGGTGCGCAGGGCAGAATGTGTTTCTGGTGCATGGTGGATACTGTGGTGCACTGGTATACTGTGTATTCAATCGAGGGAAGTCCACTGATATTCTGTATAAATCTGGCAAAATGTAGCAATACAGACAGTTCACATGCAGCTTTATTCATCAAAGTGTCTGAAGTAGGAATTGTCTGGCTTGATCAGGAGCATAGAGTTCAGACAAGTGGATTCATTCAGTTTTGTGTCTTTTCCCTTTCTACAGAAGTTTGTCTGCACCACACTACACCCAATTCTCCTCCCCGTACTCCGACTTGTATAACTGGAAAGAGTGTGCGCACGTTTTGTATCAGAGTTTCTCAGCATGGAGCCAATGAATTCCCCTAGAGCTGGTAATGTCCTGTCAACGGATTTTTGTGTGCTTCACCTTTGTGTCACTGACTGGATTCCAGGACCACATATCCCCCTATCGCCTGCCTAATCTCCCCTGACTTTTAGCAGCTCTTCTCCTGTCTCCATAAATATCCATTTGTGTACCCACCTACTGTCTTACTCAAACTGTCAACCTCCATCATTCATCTTCTACCCATCTCTAACATCCATCCATCTCTTCAACATCCAACCATTCATCCTTCTCTCCATCTTCCATCTATATATCTCCAAACGCCCAACCATATATCCCTCAGTCTTCCATTCATATTTCCAACATCCAGCAATCCATCCATTTCCCCATCTCTATCATCCA